TGATAATTTCGATGGTAGATGGTCGTTCATGTTTAACACCATCATTGAAAGTCTGGATTTGCGTGAGATTGAGATTTCGGGCAGGAAGTTCACTTGGGCTAATGCACTACCTAATCCGACGTTTGAGAAGCTGGATCGGGTTTTGGCTAGCGTCGAATGGGAGCAGAAATTCCCTTGTGTTATGGTGCAGGCACTTACACGGGGCATTTCGGACCATACGCCTTTATTCATTGACTCTGGGGAGGCCACCCATGTGGGAAATAAGAATATCTTCTCGTTTGAGCTTGCGTGGTTCGAGAGACAAGGGTTCCTAGACATTGTTGCCAAAGAATGGGCTAAGGATGCAGGAGGTAGAACTGCACTTGAGCGCTGGCAGAATAAAATTAGGCACTTGAGAAGCTTCTTACGAGGGTGGGCTAAACATCTTAGTGGAGTTTATAAGATTGAGAAGGAACAGCTCCTTTCGCTTATTCAGTCCCTAGATGTAAAAGCTGAGAACATGATCCTGCCAGCCTCGGAGCTTCAGGCGAAGCTCGATGCGGAAATGAGGCTGAAAGAGCTTCTTCGTGAGGAAGAATTAAAGTGGGCGCTTCGGGCCAAGGTCCGTCGGGTCGTTCAGGGGGACGCGAACACACAATTTTTTCACATGATTGCTAATGGCAAGCATAGAAAGAAGAGAATCTTTCAGCTTGAGCAAGATGAGGAAACGATTCTGGGTCAGGAAAATTTAAAGTTGTATATCACTGAGTATTACAAGCAGTTGTTTGGACCTCCAGAGGAGAACTGGGTGTCGCTGGATAAGTCTAGGATTGAGGATGTGCCTCAACTGACAGCTGTTGAGAATAATATCTTAATTGCTCCTTTCTCTGAGAAAGAGGTATTTTGAGGCAATTTCCTAGATGAAGAATAATAAGGCTCCAGGCCCGGATGGTTTCCCGGCCGAGTTTTACAAGAAATGTTGGCACATTATTAAAGGAGATCTATTGCCTTTGTTCAATGATCTCTTCGCTGGTCAGCTTCACCTTTTCAAGCTGAATTTTGGGATGATAACTCTTCTTCCCAAGAAGACAGAGGCAGTGCGGATTGAGCAATTTAGGCCAATCTGTCTTCTTAATGTGAGTTTCAAAATTTTTAGCAAGGTCGGGACGAATAGGCTCACACAGATTGCGCATACTGTGGTGCAGCCTACTCAATCTGCTTTTATGCCGGATACAAACATTCTTGAAGGGGTGGTGGTCCTGCATGAAATGCTCCATGAAATTCACACGAAAAAACTGGATGAAGTGGTTTTTAAGGTGGATTTCGAGAAAGCGTACGATAAAGTCAAATGGCCCTTTTTACAACAAGCCTTACGTATGAAGGGTTTTGACGAAGCTTGGAGGCGCCAAGTTGAATATTTCACGCAAAAAGGGAGTGTTGGAATTAAAGTGAATGACGATATAGGGCATTATTTCCAGACACACAAGGGCCTGAGGCAAGGTGATCCAATGTCTCCTATCCTTTTCAACATTGTTGTTGATATGTTGGCAATCTTGATAGGAAGGGCAAAGGAGGCAGGACAAGTAGGTGGCTTGGTGCCTCATCTTGTCGATGGTGGTGTGTCCATTCTGCAGTACGCCGATGATACTATCATTTTTATGGAGCACGACTTGGTAAAGGCGAGAAATATGAAGTTGGTATTGTGCCTATTTGAGCAATTGTCCGGTCTGAAGATCAACTTCAATAAAAGCAAATTGTTCTGTTTTGGTAAAGCCAAAGAGGAACAAGATGCTTACAAGCAACTGTTTGGTTGCGATCTGGGGACTCTTCCGTTTACTTACCTTAGTATTCCCATTCACCATCGTAAGTTAACTAACAGCGAACGGAAGTGTATCGAGGATCGGTTTGAGAAGAAACTGAGCTGCTGGAAGGGCAAACTTATGTCGTATGGAGACCGGTTGATTCTTATTAATTCGGTGCTCACGAGTTTGCCTATGTTTCTCTTATCCTTTTTTGAGGTTCCAGTTGGAGTTAGGAAAAGGCTGGACTTCTATCGGTCTCGTTTCTTTTGGCAGAGCGATGAAACTAAGAGAAAGTACCGCCTAGCCAAATGGGATGTCATCTGCCGACCAAAAGACCAAGGGGGTCTTGGGGTTGAGAACCTTGAAGTTAAGAACAGATGCCTTCTAAGTAAGTGGCTTTATAAGTTATCTGCCGAGACTGAGGCAACTTGGGCGCAGATTCTTCGTAACAAGTATCTGTACTCTAAAATCTTGTCGCAAGTGACAGTTCGACCCACTGATTCGCCCTTCTGGAAGGGGTTAATGAGGGTCAAAGCTACTTTCTTTAACAGAACAAAGTTTGTTGTCGGTGATGGCAATAACACTCGTTTTTGGGAAGATACCTGGCTAGGTGATGCACCACTCGCACTCCAGTACCCGGCGCTTTATCGCATTGTGCAGCGACGTGATGCTCTGGTTGCAACGAGTCTGCAATCTGTTCCTCTTAACATCTGATTTAGGAGGGTGCTTGTGGGTGACCGGTGGGAGGCTTGGATTCATCTGGTGAGTAGACTCATGGAGGTTCAGCTTACTCATCAGCCTGATCAGTTGTGTTGGAAGCTTACTAAATCTGGTGAATTCACAGTCAAGTCGATATACATTGATGTCATCAATTCTAGTGTAATTCCTAGTTCCAAACACGTTTGAAAAGTTAACGTTCCTCTGAAAATCAAAGTGTTTATGTGGTTTGTGCATAAACAAGTCATTCTAACGAAGGATAACTTGATTAAGCGCAACTGGACAGGATCTACTAGGTGTAGTTTCTGTGATCGGGATGAAACTATCAAGCATCTTTTCTTTGAGTGCCCGATGGCGAGGGTGATGTGGCGCTCGGTGCAGATTGCCTTTAACATTACTCCTCCGAATTCGGTCAGGTCGTTGTTTGAAACGTGGCTGATTGGTATAGAGGCCGAAACAGCTAGACAAATTCGTGTAGGAGCATATGCGTTGTTATGGGCAAATTGGAACTGCAGAAATGACTTGGCTTTTAATAGAACAACAACTATTCATTTTTTGCAGATTCTATTCTGGGCTACTGCGCTAATCCGTACTTGGTCATTACTCACTCCGACGGAGGCCAGGGCGCGTTTGGTTACTGGATCTGTCCGGTGGGAGATGGTAGCGCGGGATATCTTCAACCGGTTTGGATGGCGGTCATATAATAGGATATGCGCTTAGTTTACCTATCTCTCTCTATTATGCCAGCCGGTTGTGGCTTTTGGGCCTTGTTTTATTTTGCTTGCTCTGTGTGAGCCAGTTTCCTTTGCTGCAGCACTTTACAAGACATTGTTGAACTACTTATTTATTTATAAATGTGGTCGTATACATCTCTCTGATGCAGAGGCTGGGGAACCCCCCTTTTTTGAAAAAATACTTGATAGCCTCAAGGGGGTTGTAAGAGCTTTTCAACGTAACGCCGCGTGGAGTCGGAGTCGAGGGAACATTCGAGCTTCGATGAAGTCCATTGTTCCAGAGTACAACAGCCACAGACCTCGAGAGAGTCTGCTAAAAATCAAACACCATCATTCGTTGTAGCACCCAAACTCGAACGGCACCTGATTTGCAGTGCCAGTTGAAAATTTCAGGAAAAGGATAGCTGATAACTTGGCATGTTTGGTGTTGTTGGTTAACCTCTGTGGGTAGTTTAGTGGATCTGCCGGTGGTTCCTCTACTTTGTTACTGCTGCGGTGCAACTTTGCATGCATGCCCTGTTTGGATACTCTAACACAGTTAAAGTTAGAGTTATTTTTTAACCAACTCTAACCCAAAAAAGCACCTCTCCACCGGGATAGTTGGATTAGATGGAACTAACCCACTCTAACCCTCCCTGTTTGGATACTTTTGGGTTATTTGAGCCCCCAACTAACCCAAATTAGCTCTAACCCCATTGATCCAAACAGGGCCGGGTTAGATTTTGTTCTGTTGACACACTCTGAACTGAATTGAGTATTGAACCCAATACAGAACCGCTGTTGTACCAATACAATCGAAATGCCGGCAGTTCTGCGATGCCATCATCACAAAATTTTAGCAAAAGTAGAATTTCCTGCCTTTTCCCCGTGTTGCAACATGAAAGAAACACAATCAAGAAACTTCGTGCTGCCTTTTCCCCGTGTTGCAACATGAAAGAAACACAATCAAGAAACTTCGTGCTGCCTTTTCCCCGTGTTGCAACATGAAAGAAACACAATCAAGAAACTTCGTGCTGCCTTTTCCCCGTACTGAATATATTGATGATTTATTTCGGTATAATACGATGAGTTCACCACACCAAACGGGGGTTGCATCTGCAGAGCAGAGTTTTCAGCCTGCAAACACTGGACGTTTTGTTTCTACTGTGTAGCGAAAGTCTGTCCATGGATAGTTGCAACCATGATGATTCTTCAAAGCTTTCTTCTTCAGCATCAGGCATAATATGTAGAGGCATTGAACAAAGTCTCGGAAAGGGCAAACGAACAACGGGCACAACGAAGATGGACAACGGTTTCGACGGCTCGCTGACAGGTGGGCCCTGCAGCCACGTCGACTCAAGGCAGATACCATATGTACAGGAAAATAAACTAGGGGTCGCATTTTTGCACTTTCCTAGATACAAAGATCACACCGAATAAAGCAGACAAGCCGGTTAACCAAGTTAACAGGTGTTTTATTTTACTCTGTGTATATTGCGATATACAATTATACATGATGAGTGATGAATTAGCAGCAGATGCCACTTCAGAAAAACAGGGGGGGTGATGCAACTACAATGTCATTTTGACGGCTCCGTGATCCCATCAATGTGATCGTCACTATGAGGAGCAAGGATTGAGGTTGCAGAAAACCATGCCTGTCCAACCAAGCCTCCTCTTCCATTTCCCTCCCAACTCAGTTCACATGGATGCCATGGCAGATGGAGCTTGCAGCAGCAGAACGGTCACACAAATAGAGCTACTATTGCGCCGGCACATAGACCAAGACTCAGTCCAGAGCAGCTTTCATCCTGCGGCCGGGCGAGGGCTTGGGCAGGCCGTCGAGCAACGGGCGGGTGAAGGACTCGTGGTTGAAGGTCCACTTGGAGCTCGACCACATGGAGCCCCCGGCGCCGCCGTTCTCCGAGTCCGCAAAGCTCGGCGCGCTCGGCGACCTCCGCACCGCGGACTTGAACCCGTCGAGGAACGAGCCGCTGTTGCTCCTCGCGGCGGAATCCGGGCTGCTTGAGTCCGTGCTCAGACGCATGCTGGAGACCGGCCTCGGCAGGAAACTCTTGATCATCTTGATCGAGTCCGACAGGAGGTCGTCGTTGGTGTCGGCTTCCACTTTCTGCCGCCGCCGTATGGAGCCGTCTTGCTTTTCCTTGGCCGCCCCGTTGCTTCTGCCGGTGCTTTGTGTACTGTCAGGCGGAGAAGAAGAAATTGGGAGTATTTCACTTCCAGTAACTTGGGAGCTTCCCTTGCTGTACAAGGACATTTCCGTACTCAAATCCATGTCATCTCCTCTTTGAGAACTCAGGCCATAGTAGCTCTGCAAGCTGCTCATTGCAAGCGATGACTGCTGCAGTCTAGAGTTAACTGAATCTAGTGAATCCACAATGTCCCTGTTTTGCTGATTGTTCGGAGCCCACGCTCTGTAAGCAAAAAAAGCAGAGAATAGCTTAGTGGGTGTTCTTAAGTTCAACTACAGCATTAGGAATGTCTGGTACGAAAGAACAAAGGCTAATATAATATGTACACCAACTTAAATAGTCAAAATGTGGGCAAAATGTCATGATGCAACAGCAAGTAAGAAACACTGGACCCCAAACAGGGCCAACATTATGAACTGCTAAAATGAGTTGTCTTTGTTCGACAGTAGTTTGACCTTAGAAAATAAGCGTCAACAAGAATTCAGGTTGCAGTTAATATGTAACTGACCAAAAACCAATAACAATAAAACTTATGGACTGTGTGCTACAGCATGGAAGAAAAATAAGCAAACACACACGGAACAATTAACATGAGGAGATGTATACCTTTTCGATCGTAGGCTGGAGCCGTTGAGCTTGACAGAGGATGGCATGGGCCTTCCTGGTAGAGGTATGAGCAATGCCTTGTGCGCATACATCTGGCTGTCGGTCACAAGACTATTCGCCCTCTTGATGTCAGATATCTACACGACAAAAGAAAGTGATCTTAACATGGTAACCAAAGTCGGTACAGCTGTACTTTAAGAGGCAGACATAATGACAACTCGAACCAAATATACTACAGGGACTAATAGGATGTCCGAATCGATCTGCAATGCAAATGCACAAAAGCATTTCATCCTGTCACTCCTCCCAGGAACCCCCCGCGAAAGGATGACGCGTGATGTCGAAACTCGGTGTTTTTTGCTTGCATCATGCCCATAGCAGGATTACATCGCCCATGACTATGAAGCGCACAGCTCACGGATTACTCTGAAGCGGCACAAGATAAAGGCTGTGCAAGCACTGGCGCACTATGACAGCCACATACCAGAGAAAACATGGGCAAGATTCGGACGGATCTTGCCACGGATCAATGCAATGCAAATACAGAAATGTTTCAGCACAACACCCTAAACTCATCAGAGTTTCGCATCATATTGCAGGATTACATGACGCATAGCCATGAACAGCGTAGTTCACAGGGCACTTGGAAGTGGTGCAAGACAAGTGCTGTCTTCTGTTGTGCACAATTACAGCCACACTGGCCTCAGGACACAAAACTGCATATCCTAATTTTCCCATCTATAATAATTCCTTGATAATAGCATCGTTCCTGCCCATTCAGCAAGAGCATGGCGCGCACAGATCACCACCGTTTTCTACATGCAGCTCGTCACCAACTATGCCAAACCAAAGTATATCAGGGATGGGAGAGAGGGAGAGGTTACCTGGACGCCGTACTTGATGGCGATGCCGGCGAGCGTGTCCATCCGGGACACCTCGTGCTGGAGGAAGTCCTCCTGGCCGCCGTCCACGGGCGAGCAGCAGGACGCGGGCGGCGGCGGCGGCGTCCGGTCCGGCGACAGCAGCAGCGCGCTGCCCAAGCCCAGCCCTCCTCCGCGGGGCCCTCCGTAGAACTCGTCGGACAGCGGGTGCGAGATCCCCATGCCGACCGCGCAACCAACCAAGCAAGCAAGCAGGAAAAGAAACTCCCCTCCTCGTCGGCGGCCCCAAATCAAATCGCGCAGGGGAGAGGCAGATCCCTTCCGGCGGCCGCGAGGGGTTGGGGCCTGGGAGGGAAATGCGGAGGGGGGAGAAGGTTGGGAGGGTGGGTAACTGGGGTTGGAGGGTGGGTGGCCTTTGCTTGTCGACGAGGGAGGGGGGAGGAAGAAGAGGAGCCAAGCAAAAGCAAAGCCTCCTCTCCCCTGCTCCTTAATCAATCGTCGGCGCAAAGATTTGATTTTTATTTCACTATAACCTCCGGCTGGTTCCGTTTCTGTTACGCGGTTCGCGGAGGAGCTGGGGGTGCACGTGGCAGTCGTGTTCCACGGTCCACTTCGTCCCTCGCCGACCGCCGCAGCTTCCTCCTCCTCACACGCTCCCACATAAATAAAAAAGGGAGCGTCTAGTGGGCGGCCGGCTGCCCACTAGCGCGATGGAGCAGCCAGCCATAAAAGGCAATTTTCTGTCCCCCTTGGTCCCAGGAAGAAAAGTTCTTTCCTACCCGACTGCCCACGCTCCCAACAAACAGAAAATCTCCTCCATCGCTGTCATGTGATAACCACATCCCCACGCCTCCCACGCACAGCTTGCCCACACTTCCTCCCCCCACGGGTCGCCCTTTTGATTCTCCACGAAAGAAGTGTATCCCAGGCCTAGATCCAAACCCTACAGAGCTGCCATGGCAGAGCAAAACTAGGTGAAGAAATTGGCCAGAAAAGCTTCAATTCTAAGAAGAGGGAGTACAAAGCCATAGCAGGTAGCAGCATCAGGTAACTTCCCTCTAGCCTCCAGATCATCCTTCTTCACTTTCCCCTTCCCTTTCCCTCTGGATCTGCCACAAATCTTCTCCGGTCTTCTCCATAGTTAAAGGAAGAAGGAACATGAAGCAGCAAATAGAGTTGAATATGATCTCTGCACAATAGAACACTTTCCTGTGCAACTAAACATGGATCCAAGCCAATTTTTGCCTGGATGCGTGCAAATAAACCTACCATTATGCAAAAATAGACAGGGTGAAGTGCCTGTGCAAAAAACCATCTATTTGTGCAACTAAACATGCATCTAAGCCAACTTTTGCCTGGATGTGTGCATATAAAAAAAGGAGTAGTTGCATATGCAAAAATAGACAGGATGTAGTGCCTGTGCAAAAAAACCCATCTATTTGTGTAACTAAACATGAATGTAAGCCAACTTTTGCCTGGATATGTGCAAATAAACACAATGTGTAGTTGCAGATAGAACAATAAAACTGCATGTAGTGTCTGTGCAAAAGAAATGATATTTGTGCAACCACACATGGATCCATGCCAACTTTTGTTGCAATCTGTGCAACGAAAACAAAGCAGACTAATAAAGCACAAAACATAGTAACATCAAGCGTACATAGTCTTGTCACATAGAAAATGCAGTAGGGAAAATATGTTCAATATACTAAAGAAAAAACAGAAAAAGATGAAAACTATTTTCTACCATCTGAATCTTCTTTCTTCGTCCAAATAGCAGTGTATAAAAATTGTAGCATTGAATTATGTGCAGAATCTACGTCAGGTCCTTGACAAATAAACCTGCACATCATTAGAACAACAAATTTGTGAGAAAAACACTGAACAAATCTCCTGTTTTGTATCTGTGCAACCTATTTACTGCAAACTGTGCAACATACATAACCACTCTGTGCAAAAGAAGTGCCAGAAAATATTGTAAACGGATTGTGAAAATTAGTAAGTTAAAAGAAGTAAAAAAAAGGTGTGTCAAATACATTGTGAAACTAGTGTGCAACTACTTAGGGTTCTGCATTGCAAAACATCTTGTTTGTAACACATTTTGAGAATACAGAAAAAATAACTTGTGACTATCCTGTTTGTTCTCTAGAAAAGGTAGAGGTGATTAATTATCATTACATACAAATATTTGTTCTCTGGAAAACTAGATTAAAAAGTTGAGTATGGCAATTTGATATCCTGTTTGTTCTGCAACTAGAAATGCTGGTGATGACAACTAATGAGATATTCTGGTGCGACTAGAAATGCTGATGATGCCAACTAATCAGATATTCTTGTGCGACTAGAAATGCTGATGATGCCAACTAATGAGATATTCTTGTGCAACTAGAGAGGTTGAAGATGTCAACTACTACTTGGATAATGTTGTCCAACTAAAATTGCAGAGGGTGCCAACTAAATAGATACTCTTCTGCAACTAGAAAGCCTGAGGGTGCCAAGTCATTAGATACTATTGGGCAATCCTCAAAAAATTTAAGATGGGATTAATCTGAATTCTTGTGCAACTAGAGAGGCTGAAGATGTCAACTACTTGGATAATGTTGTCCAATGAGAATTGCAGAGGGTGCCAACTAAATAGATACTCTTCTGCAACTAGAAAACATGAGGGTGCCAAGTCGTTAGATACTGTTGGGTAATCCTCAATTTTTTTTAGATGGGACTAATCTGAGTTCTTGTGCAACTAGAGAAGCTGAGGATGTCAACTAGTTGTATATTGTTGTGCAACTACAATTACCGAGGTTGCCAACTAATTAGATACTATTCTGCAACTAGAAAGCCTGAGGATGCCATGTCGTTACATACTCTTGGGCAATCCTCAATTTTTTAAGATGGGACTAATCTGAGTTCTTGTGCAACTAGAGAAGCTGAGGATGTCAACTAGTTGTATATTGTTGTGCAACTAGAATTACTGAGGTTGCCAACTAATTAGATACTATTCTGCAACTAGAAAGCCTGAGGATGCCAAGTCGTTACATACTCTTGGGACAATTCTAAAAAACTTGAAGATGGCAACGTTGAGCAACTGAGAAAGTTGAGCATGCCAATGCTTATTTAGTCCTTTTGCAACTATGTATGAAAATTAATACACTTGGCTGACCGTATGTGGAGTAAAAAATCACCGAGAAAAAAGGGATTGGAGGAGGTAGTGGAGGTGCTACTCCGACTCCACGACCAAGGACTCCCTTGGCGACCTACTAACCCAGCCACAATGGATCTTGTAGTCAGACCTTGACCACCTCTGCAGGCGTGTTGTAGACACCTTCTCACCAACTACCCCTACGAATAGGATGTGCGACTTCGGCGGCTGGTTGTCGATGTGCAACTATGAAAGCATGGTTGTGCGATTTTGCGTGGCTTCCTAACGACCACAGCGGTCCAGCTCCATCACTGAGAAAA